GCCGTCACCTTGGGGGAAGCAGGAGATGTGCTCAGGGAGGCGAGGAGCAGGACGGGGCTCACACCGCAGAGGGCACTCGGGGGCAGGTTCCACGCGTGATGGAGGCCCCAGGCCAAGACGAGGGCTCAAAGTGAGAGCGGCCAGCAGTGACCTCCGGGGGCTGTTGCTGAGACCTCGCTGGGGTGCGGGACCAAATGCAGTTCCTGCAGGGGCTGCCGGTGCTGAGAGAGGCGTGGGGTGGAGTCGGGGGCCTGAGGGCGGACCGTGGCCTGGGGCCCAGACTGGCCTTTAGGTTCAGGGACCGTTCCTAAGTCTGACTGCAGAGCCGCTGCTGGCCTGCGCTGCCCCACGTCCCGTAATCCGGGCGGAAAACATCCCCGAGCGGCGCGGCTCTGGGTCGGAGGCGGCCTCGCCCCTGGCACTCAGAGCCCTGCCTGCCCCTGTGCCCCTGGAATTGGTCCTCTCTGCGCCATGAAAGCTCGCACTCAGGGCTACTAACCCGCTGGCGTGTGGCCGTGTCACTGCGGCCTGTCTGACCGTCTGCAGTTGTCCGTGCGAGTGCCTGTCGCTGTGAGAATGCTTCACCCGGACAAGGAAAAGAACCGCCCTGAGCCGGCCCTCGGGGCCACGTGACTGACGCTGCCTTGGGACCGTCTTCGCTGACACGTCCTGTTTTCTGTCCCCATCCCACCCCCTGCCTGCTTCCCCAGGAGACCAGGACGTCCTCTGAGAGCATCATCTCTGTGCCTGCGTCCAGCACCTCAGGGTCCCCCAGCCGCGTCATCTATGTAAGTTGGGCTCTTTATATGGGGGGGGGGGCTGGGGCGGGGAGGGTGCTGAGGTTCACTGAGCCGGGTGTCGGCGCTGCCATCCCCGCGCGGGGACTGGTGTGGACCTCGGGAAGTTGGCAAGGGCCTCCCCCCCGGGACTGTGGGGACCGCGAGGAGGTGCTCACAGCTGTGGTGGATGACGGTGTAAAAGTGACATCGCCCCACGCCCTGCGCCAGGGCTTCCTGAATCACGTGCCAGGCACCCGTGGGGTCAGGCAGGCGTGAATGCCCTGCAGATCCATGTGTGTCACCATGGAACGTGTTCCTAACGTGTTCCTGGGAAGCACGCTGAGGATCACATATTATGAATCCATTATCGTTCAAGAGGGTGTGTGTGTGCGTATGTGTATATGTGTGTATGAGCGTGTAAGAGTGTACATGTACGTGTGCGTATTAGTGTGTGTACGTGTAAGTGTACATGTGTGGGTGCATTCGTATTTATAATACTTGCTTGTCTGCACACATGGCTGGTTCTGCATGTGTGTATACATGTATGCATGTGCTCTGACATGTGCGCATGTGTCTGCATTTGTGTGTACATGGATGTGTTTGCACGCATATGCATGCCTGTGTGTTTGCATGTGTCTGTGTGTTGTCTGTGTGCACAGAGGTGTCTATGAATTATTAGATCATGACTGAGGATCACTGTCCGCCCATGTCAGGCCCGACACCGGGGCAGCTCTCTGACCCCTGAAACCATCCACTGGGGCCACCTCTGCCCCTTCAGGGAGAGACATGGGCCCGAGAAGGCGCTCCCTCAGGCCACAGCGGCCCCTCTTGGCCTGGCGTCGGGACCAGGCCCACGTGATCATGAGGCCTCCTGGCCCGTTAGGCGCTTCACCCTCACGGGGCTGGGCACAGGCTCGGCTCCTCCACACCTGCCTCACTTGGGTCTGACGGTGCCGCCGCCCTTTCCCTCCCGCAGGCGAGGCTGGGCGACGAGATCCTGGACTACAGAGACCTGGCTGCCCTCCCCAAGAGCAAGGCCATCTACAACATCGACCGCCCCGACATGATCTCCTACTCGCCCTACGTCAGCCACGCGGGGGACCGGCAGAGCTGCCTCGAGGTACGGCTGCGGTGTTGGCCCGCGGGCGGGTGGCAGCCGCGGCGCAGGCCCCTGGCTCTGTCCTCGCTGCTGGGCGATGCGGGGCCTTCACTCCCGGAGACGCGCCCTGGGCGTCCTCTCTAAGGAGCTCCGCTGCGCTTTGCCCGGACGCCCCTGGCAGACGCACACAGCTCCCTGGGGCTGAGCCTGGGAAGCCCTGTGTGGCCGGGAGCAGGCAGGGGCCGGTGTTCAGGAGATGATGGGAATGGAGTAGCACCCATTTCTTGCGGTTCGGGACCATTATCACGATGTGCAAAATGTAGTTTTTTTTTTATCCGGTGCCTTCAACCTGCTCCCCGTCACCAGCCGGGCCCGTCCCCTATCCCCGCGCTCCCTGGCGTGGCTGCACCGGATGACTTACTCTGTGGGCCCCGTGGGCAGCGTCCATGGCTGACTCTCAGACGCAGCCGCCCTCCGTTTACTGCGGGGTCACCGTTGGTGCCCAGTTTTCCGGGGTGGTTTTGAGGTTCCCGTGTGACCTTGTTGCCTGTGACCAACAGGAGTGTCTGCCAGCTGGCAGCCCGGTGCGTGTGCCATTCCGAGTGGGAGGCCTGGCAGCAGAGCCCTTCCCTCCTGTCTGAGGCTCCTGCAGGGCCGCCTGGGAAGGGAGGCTGGGGCCCGGGTCGCCACGCTGGAGGTGGTGGTTGGCGCCAGCCCTGCTGACGTCTGCAGTCACCGTGGCTGGGCACGGCTGGAGCTCAGGGCAGGCGGGGAGGGTGAGGCCAGAGGGGCCCCTCCTCACTGGCTCTGTCCCTGGGGACAGGCAGGACCCCAGGGGTCTGAGTGGTTAAGTCCCAGGAAGAGGCCGGAGGGCGGGGCGGAGGGCGGGGTCTGACCTGCTCCCACCTCCCGCTGCCTGAGCCGAGCCTGGCAGGGCCTCCCCGTTCCTGTCCGGCCGAGCTCTGCTGGAGGCGCTGGGAGAGGGTCGGGAGGCCAAGCCACTTGGCCACCACCCCCTGGAGCCAATGTCCGTGGGGCGGACGGTGCTCACCTACTCTAATGGGGGAGGGGGGTCCCCAGGCTGGAGGCTGGTCCCTGCTCCCAAGGCCCCCACCAGCAGCGCCGGCCTCCCCGAGCCCCGAGCCCCGGAAGACTCTCTTCCTCGGTCTCCCAGGGCGTCGCCTGCCCACGCCCTGAACCAAGCTCCCTGTTGGGAAAACTTCTTGGAGAGCAGGGGGCGCTGGGGGACTGGACGGAGACCAGCTCCACTGTCCCCGCCTCTTTCTCGGGGTGCCATCCCTTGAGCATGTTTCTCCAAAAAGAAGGTCTGAGAGCCCCGGGGTGGGTTCCCGTCCCCGTCACGTGAGCGTCTGTGCCCGTGTGTCTCCCCACGGGCAGCCGCCGGGGCCGCGGGCTAACAGGCTGCTCTGTGTTGTGTCCACAGTCGCCCCAGTTGCTCTCGCCAACGCTGACGGAGGTAACCGCGCCCCCACGCGTGCTCGCGTGCTCCCGGGTTATAAACATAACCACCTGCCGCCCGGAGGGCTGGGGGCCTGGCCGTGGCACCTGGGCCACGCGCTCCTGGCTCGGCACCCC